TGCCATCTGGGAGTGATGAATGTGGGACGACATTTTTGATGCGAGTAGCATGTCGTAGGGCATATGGCCAAGCAGTGCGCCCGACTAGAGACTTCACACTTTCCAACATCGCGATCGTCATAGTGACCAGTGTTCTGTTAACACGTTCAGCCACACCATTTTCCTGCAGTGTGTTGGGATTTGTCTTTTCATGGACTATCCCGGCATCCTTCAAATACTTGATGAAGTCTGAAGAGAAGTACTCTCCTCCTCCATCAGTGCGCAAGATTTTGAGTTTGTTTCCAGATTGCCGTTCTGCCTCTGCCAAGAATTCTTTGAAGATTTCAAGAGCATCACTCTTTTTCTTGATGGGGTAGACGGTGAGGAATCGGGAATGGTCATCGACGAATGTGATAAAATATCGGAAGCCTTCTCGGGTGATGGTTTGGACTTCGCAGATGTCGGAGAAGACTCGTCCAAGGACTTCCTTGGAACGGGTAAGTGTTTCTTTTGGGATTGGAGATCGGGTATGTCCTGATGCTTCACATTCCTCACAGTATTCTGTTGGCTCATTTCCTCCTATATCTATTCCCCTGGCCATACCACTTCAGACCATTTTCAGGATTGAATCCACTGAAATGTGTCCAAGTCGGGCATGCCACACATCAATGGAAGCTGTTGCCGTTGTTGTACGTGCAAGTTGGGCAGCCTCGACATTGTCTGTTTCATGTTTCGTGATGTATGCTTGTTCCGCTCCAAAGATAGTGCAGGTTAATCGATATAATCCATTTGATGAGAATGCCATCCCAATGAGATCATTGTTGGGATTGTATATCTGACATTTGTTGCCGGCGAAGCGGATATTCGATCCGCATTTAGTGAGGTGTGTGACGGATAGTAGGTTGGTGCCGATCTGGGGGCAATAAAGTACTTCCTTGAGTATGGCATATCGCTCACCGAAACTATTGTGAATGATGACATGTATCTGTCCTTGCCCGATGGCATTCAAGACGCATTTATCACCAAGGTAAATGGGACAGGGAGGATTGAGAGATGTAAAGAATGAGAACCACTCGCGGTGTGCGCACATGTGCGATGATGCACCGGAGTCCACAACCCACTCAGATATCTGAGTAGGACCATGTTTTGCAACTGCAGCATGTTCTCCAGCTAGGAGAACATCCACTTTAGCTTCCTTCTTGTTGTCCTTCGAGGGTTTCTTGGACTGTCCATTGCTGGACTTTGACGGACGTTGTCCCTCAGATCCGCCCCCTTCGGCCCAACACTGTTCAAATGTGTGGCCTATTTTGTTACACTTTGGATTAGTGCAACGTGGGCGGTCTTTACCCTTCTGGGACTTCTTTCCTGCTAGTTTGTTGCCTTTCTCCGGTAGTTTCGCAGATTTAACAAGTAGTGCGGCTGTCTCAGCCTCCTCGCTTTTAATAGATTTTTCTTCTCTGATGATCTGGCCTATGAGGGTTTCACAAGCTAGTGTCGATGCATCCTGAGTATTGGCTATAGCTATAGTCTTGAGTGGTTTATACGCAGGTGGAAGAGCTTTGGCGATAATCAGCGCAAATTTTGCATCTGTTATAGTGTCACCGAGTGAATCCAGTTGTTGGCACAGTATCCGCATCTGATTGATCTGAGGCTCCAAAGGTTTGGAGTCATCCAGTTTGATGTGGTGTAGATCATAAGCCAGGTCCGAGGCATCCAGAGCCCCTTGTCCAACAAAGCGCTTCTCTAACGCTACCCAAGCCTCTTTTGCGCTTTTCTTGTCTTCGGCAATGTTAAGTGGGTTTTCTTCAAGCGTGAGACAGATCTGTGCTAGCGCTCTCTCATCCTTTTCATCCCAAACTTGGGTAGGGTCCGGAGAGGGAGCTGTAGACGTTTGCGGAGCAGCAGGAGTTTGTGAAGCCGAAGCCGTGGGGGATTGTGGAGCAGCAGCAGAAGTAGAGATAGGAGTGGGGCGATTAGAGGTTGTTGCCTTAGGGTTTACAACGCTCCAGAGACCTCTGTCTATGAGCACCATGCGGGGACCAAATCCGATAGTTCTTTCCATCGTTCTTCAACTTTTCAATGTTATGAACGCTTTTGGTATTATCGTTTGAGTTGGCCATCTCTGGGCTCATAACCTTTTAAATATAAGGCTATGGCACGTAAGTGTCTCAGACTCGTGTTAGAGGTCTATAAATTGTATGTACCTATGGCACGTAAGTGTCTGCGCCAACAGTTAGACAATTTTTGTAAAGAATAATAAAATCTATCTCACCTCAGACTTGTGTTAGAGATCTGAGGGAGAGGGAGTCCAAAAAACTCCCTTCTTATATGCGAACTACACCAGTGGCGAGCCCGTCGCATAAAGAAGAAAAATGGGGTGCAAAAGACATGCCCCAAAACTTCACTTCCGCCACCAACAATCAACACCGTCCTCGCCACTCCGTCGTCAGAACCGATTGTTGATATTCCAACACACGTCATACCTACCGGACCCTCAGCCTCGGGCGATACACCTGGGCGCTCTCAACCCCGGGTCGGTCCCTGACACACTGCCCCCTGCTCTGCACCGCTTCTTCTTTCTTTCTTTCCTTCTCTTATATGGACCACCTTTCCTGCTGTTCAATGTATCACTGGCGCACATGCCACATCCCCCTCCTGTACCTACCATCCCTATATCGCCGCCACTGCCGCCACGCTCACCTTGCGCCTACAGCAGACCCTCTCAGGATATCCCATGGAAACACCTGGAGAGCCACGGCTGTATGTGAGGGTGACGTGGTGCACCCCACGTGATTGATCCCACATGTATATAATAACAGCTGGAGTGGGAACCAAAGAAGTAGCCTTCTTCTCACATTCCCACTTCAGACCAAGTGGTCGGGGATGCTCACCCCATGACGGGACCACCCTCTCCAACGGCTCCTTCGTGCCGGAACATTGATGTCCGAGGCCTTGGTACGACAACATGTCGGCAAAATGACGCCTATACCGACGACCCGCATGTTCAGCCCCTCCCCTCTCCTTCTACTCCATCCTTCTACTCCATCCTTCCACTCAAATCCTTTGCTAGCAATTCCTCGTCGTCGCCCACCTGGGTTCCCTTCCGGAGCATGGTATTTCGGCACTTTCGATGGAGTCAGCGCTTTCACTTAGTCGACCGAGTCGGGCGAGTTCATTGCGCCTTACAGCGTTACGAATGTCAGTTTTTAATTTATGAATCTCACAGGTCCCCACCACTTGCTCATATTTCATCCCTACTCCTGTATCCCCTCGACCCAATCCTCCCTGGTGATCCAGCAGACATGCACCTTTCCGAACCGGATGCGTGACTCAGATGCATCCCGATTTACGGCTTCCCACCAAGCATGCACGAGGACCTCGGCGTTAATTCGTCTGTTGCAGGGAGAACACCCATTGCTCTGGATAGGAAACATGGTTTGATGGCAGAACAGAGTCCACTGTCTCCATGCGGTACCCGCCGGTTAACGTGAGTTGCGTCAACCAACTAGGAGCCTCATGTGGTGATCGAATGCCGTTTGATGCTACCAATCACGAATCTCTATCACCTCCGGTCGAGCAAGGATGCGACTCAACTTCTGCTCCAAGACCGGATGACGACTCCAATTGTCGTCGAAATTAGCAAGTCGTTTAGGATGGGTCGCGGGTCATTGCGATTCCTTCTTCACTTGTTAGTCGCCTAGTTCGAGCGTTTTTCTGTCACTGCGTTATACATTGTCCTCCGATTTGTACATCGTTGCGCTTGACATTTTATAATATTAATGATAACGAGTTAGTTGTGAACGGCAGGTGAAGGGGGAAACAACATCCTCTTGCTCTGGAGTCAAACGGTGACCCGAACAAGGATCATATATCTACATCAAGATTTCCTTGCATGGATCAGATGAGCCAAGCGTCCTTCTTCCGGCATTGGTTGCTGCACTCATGGAATCCCCATCCGACATCCACCTATGGCCCATTGATAAACATTGCTCCTACGATACTGGCGGAGATAGTTTGAGGACTGAAGGAACACTCTCTCCCCTACTAGGTTGGAAGCAGAGTGGGTTGGTTGGCGGAAAGAAGAGAAGACAAATTACTTTTTGAACATCGCGGGGACGCTTTCCAGTCGGTGGCTCTGAGGAAAGAAGCGGGAGAGCCAGTACTAACGGCAAGGGATGGACGGACTGTTTTAGAGAAGCAACCCGATGGAGCTATGTTGACGCGTCAACGCGGAGACGGTGGAGTGACATGAGCAGAGGGAACCGATGAAATACAATTTCTAGGGAGGGGAGGGGGAGGGACTGACAAGAAATCCATTGTGGTGCGCTCGTGTGATTGCCGTCTGAGAGTATAGAGCGTGAGATCGAGATACTCTGTACGGATGGAACTCCGTCATCACTCGAAGTATTGGCATCTTCCACCCACCCCATTCTCAAGGATAGCAGCACTTGATATGTGGGGAAATGCTTAGGTAAATTCATGTTTTAGAACGACAGCGAAATAGGATCCCTCCGCTACTTGGATACCTGGGGGTGCGAGGTCGCCAATTAGAGTTGAGGGAAGCGGATACCGCAGAAAGGAGTCCAACAGTAATAGCGCAAGATTGGAATATTAATATCTTTCGCATCAGTTCTATTACTGGCCAGTGGCCCGACAAAAATAGTGGATGCCTCGCCTGGTAAGTAATTTCTGCTGAAATTTCGTCTAGGTTTGTGTCGCCATTAACACAAAGCCATCCAGTCAGACACAGCCCACCATCAATGGCTTGGATCCCTATACGAGGAGCTGGGAAGTGATCTAGAGCTGTTCTGGGATGACTCAGAGCATTGGAATCGAAGCAACCGGGCTGAAGCGTATTGCTAGATGGCAGTGGAGAGGGAACAACTGACAAGGTGGACAACAGACGAGACCCTGATGTTTGTGTGTGCAATCAGTTTAATATTCGCGTATTGGACAGTTCGCTGTGGCGGGAAACACAAGGCTGCGTTTGGTGGTCCGAACCAAATAACTATCAACGACAGCGACAATGTTAAAAAATCACTTACAAGGGAGCGTGGTAAACACAAGTGGTTTTTTTGGATTTCGCTATCGGCCCCAGATAGCATAGTTAACATTCCATCGCCGACAGAAGGGTATTTCAATATTTGTTGTCCTGCTTTGGCAGTGGTTAGGACAGTACTGCCTTATATGTCGATGTGTGGTCGAGGGCGGTTCAACTCTCTCCTCTCTACCCACAACATCCTCTGCGATTGCTGATACACGATGCTTGATCGATTTAAGTTTTCTAACAGAGGACACTCTCCTGCGCCTCCCGGTGGCTCTTCGCGACCCTCGACCTCTGTTCCTAGCCTTCAGATCACTACTTCTCCCACTGAAAGCGTTGCAACAACTAGCACAGATCGCGGTGGATCTGATAGATCCGGTCTTAAGCCTCTTACTACTACTGGCGGTAGTTCTCGAGGCCGGAAGCAGCGGTGGTCTGTTCGGCACACTATAGCTAAGCTGTTGAGCAGAAGTCTCAGTCCCGATCCCACTCATATCGACCAATCGAAACCCTCCGATCACAGACAATCTTCTCCCTCTACGCCCGACCCACCACCCCCTAATTTATCGCCATCTCCCGTTCTCCCTGAGGGGGCCATCGATATCCCTCACATGATGCCCCACGAGCCCATCATCCATAGCAACACTGAGACACCCCACTCACCACCAGGACGCACAGGCGTGAACTTAGATGCCCCATCGTCAACAGATCGGACACCGTCATCTTCAGCTGTCCCTGCTGGTGACGGAAAGAAAACAATCATCGCCGCCACAAAGCTCGTCCTTCAAACTGCCGCCTCTGCCCTTAGGTTCGCCCCTATTCCAAACGTCGATCAGATACCAAATATACTTCTGAAATGGCTCCAAGTTTACGAGGTTCGCAGGTGTTGTTGCGATTTTGCGATTTAATGATATAACCTCCATGTTTTCATGCAGACCATCGACGACAACGACGAAAATCTCAAGGGATTAGACGATGAAGTTCGAAAGGCTCACGAAACGATTTTCAGGCCAGTCCAGTTGTGGACTGGCCAAGTTCCTCTCGAAATAAGTGAACTGATTGAACGATTTAACTCGTATGTGCATTCATTCATTGTTCTCTCGCCCAAATCTTGACCCTCGGTCACAGAGCTCTAAAACAACAATTAAAGGAAATAGAGGCACTCAAACGTCAAAAGCTTGCCAAGAGGGTAATTTTAGCGACTGAGATAACGCAAGAAATAAGCGCCGTACAGTCGTGCATCCGTGATGCTATCTCCCACTTTTCGGTTCGTCTCGTCTGTTGTAAGACAGCAACGGTTGGTTCGACGTTTAGCGCAAGGATACCCGACCTACATTATCTCGGTGAGACGCCCGATGATTGATGTTAGGTTTATTTCTAGTCGGTCTCTACTGTCTGATCATTCCATGTTTATTTAGCATTTATCTTCCTTTTTCCGACCTGTTGGTCGCCTCACTTTCCTTTATTTGTAATAATCCTCACTCCTGTTACACTCGATTAATCGACGCTTAAAAGCTCGATGTTTTCTTCGCTGACGCCCTCAGTTCTCATTGCGTTCACAACCGCGAGACTGAGGTCGGTATATCTTTTATCATATTCACTCGTTTACTTGTTCTAAAACCTTCACCTAGTATTATTCTATTCTAGGTAGATATCCAATTATAGTTCTCATTGCGTTCACAACCGCGAGACTGAGTATTATTCTATTCTAGTCTGCGTTAGGGTTATGAGCCCAGTCTCACTCTAACTTTAAGAACTCGCCATCTTATTCTAGCCATGTCTACTAATCCTAGCAACATCAAACTTGAGACCAAGATCTTTGAGTACGACCGTCTTAAGTCTGACGGGTCGAACTACGGAACCTGGCGAGCTATCATAGAACTCGTTTTAATCAACCAGGGACTACTTGGCTACGCCGATGGCTCTATCACAAAGCCGACCTCTACCTCTACTCCCACTCCTCCTTCCAATCCTCCAAATCCCCCAGACCCTAATGCTCCTGCTGCTGCTACACCTGCTACGGCTCCCACTGCACCTGCGACTCTGACTGAAGAAGCCTGGAATAAGGGTAACTCTAATGCCTTGCTCCAAATCTTGGTATCTGTCGACGAGGAAACTCGCGTATATATCAATGATATAAAGGAAGCCACTAAGGCGTGGTCCATTATCAAGAAGCGCTTCGAGGGCAAAGGCCCCAAATCAGTCTTTTACTTACTGACGAAGCTCTTTCGGAACACTATCTTGCCCGAGAAAGACATTCAGCTCCAGATCCAGGAAATCAAAGAGACGGCAGTTAAACTTCACTCACTCGGCACCACCATTAGCGACGAAGTCTTAGCCACCGCGATTCTTATGTCGTTGCCAGATGAATGGGTTACCATCCAGGACATCCTCCTAAACAGCTCTTCCCTAACTCTCCAAGACACTATCGACCACATCCTTGTGCATGATCTGAAGCGAAAGCAGATGCAGGCCGTCGCCCTCGTTGCTCGCGATAACAAGAAGACCACGAAGTCTGGACCTAAGCCAAAGGATGGCGATAAGCCTACGTGTTCAAATTGTAGGAAGAAAGGCCACACTGCTGAACAGTGTTGGGCCGAAGGGGGAGGTTCTGAGGGGAAAGGACCAAAGAAGGACGGAAAAGGGAAGAAAGGAAAGAAGAGGGGAGGCGGACAATCTGCAAGAGTGGCTGACTCGGAAAGTGGAGACGGAGATCACATTACTTACTATGCTCTAGAAACCTCTCCCCAAACCTCGGCCTTACTCGCATCGGACACCCGTTCCCACATTGACTTCATCATTGATTCTGGGGCCTCGTCTCATATGGCCTCGGATCGTTCCTACTTCACTTCCTACCAAACACTCCCCAATCCAAAGAAAATCCGCATTGCCGATCAGAAACTAATCGACGCAGTCGGTATTGGCAACATCGAGATCAAAACCTCGGTCGGATATCAGTCTAAACCTGCCACACTCTCCAGAGTACTCCACGTCCCTCACCTCAGTGAAAACCTTCTTTCCACGCGTCAAATGGCCGAAGGCGGTCTTCAGACCACCTTTTCCTCCAGTAGCGCCGACATTGTTGACCCCAAATCCGGTAAGGTCCTCAGTCGGGCTTACTTAAACGGAAACCTCTATAGGCTACGTGCCGAAGTCGTGTATCCGGAGGAAGCCAGGTTTGCGCACGTCGAAGAAGTTGACGGATGTGCCCTAGTAACGAGTGTGAGTAATGCTTCTAAAGGTAGTCTCACCTTGTGGCATAGGAGACTTGGCCACATCGACGAGGATACTGTCCTCCGATTGGCAAACACGGGGGCGGTTACTGGCATGGAGGTATTGGACAAGAAGAAAGAGAAGTGCGTACCTTGCCTAAAGGGCAAAAGGACGCGTAACCCCATTCCCAAATCCACTCCACAACGCGCTACTGAAACCCTGGGGAGGGTCTTCAGCGATATGTGTGGACCCATCCTACCCGAAAGCCGCGAAGGTTACAGATACTTCATCACATTCATTGACGACGCCAGTCGATACACTCACATTGGTTTTACCAAGACCAAGGACGCCGCTCTTAGTCAATTCAAGGCCTGGAAAGCCAAAGCCGAGAAGGAATCCGGTAAGAAGTTGAAGATCCTTCGTACTGACGGCGGCGGTGAGTACACGTCGGAAGAGTTCAAAGCGTACCTTAGGTCCGACGGCGTCACCCACGAACACACCAATCCCTATACCCCACAAGAAAACGGCGTTGCTGAACGTACTAATCGCACGCTGAACGACCACGCCCGATCAATGATTGAGGACGCGAAAGAGGTCCTACAAGATAAGAAGTTGCCTCAAAACTTCTGGAGCGTTGCAATCCGACATGCTGTTTGGATTAAAAATCGCGTACTCACCCGTGCTCTCGACGACAATAAGACGCCTTACGAGGCGTACTTTGATCGTAAGCCATCTCTCCAAGCCCTTCGACTCTTCGGTTGCCTCGCATACGCTCACGTCCCCAAGAAGTACCAATCCAAGTTGGGTGCGCGGGCGATTGAGTGTGTGCATGTTGGCTTCGCGGAAGAGAAGAAGGCGTATCTGTTGTATGATAGAGTTGCGCGGAGGATGTTGGAATCGCGGGATGTGGAATTCTTGGAGGCGGATAGTAAGGAGAGGGTGCAAATTGAAGTAGTGACGAGAGAGGAAGTTGGAAGCGAGGGAAATGGGCTGAAGGATGAAGGTCAGGGTGCTGATTCAGGGGGGGATAGGAACGTTTCTACGGATACTCACGTACCGAGCGCGAACGATTCTCTGACTCATCCCCCTCACACTTCCCATGATCCTGTTCCTACACCTGCTCCAAATCTCCGACGTTCGAATCGCCCTAATGCCGGGAAACGCCCTATGCGACCTGACGAGGACCCGAAACTGAGTCTAGGTTCAAGACGAGTCAAATCTCTGGCACCTTTGCCAGCGAACTCGGATTCAGTGGGTGACGTCGGGACGAACCAAGCTTCAGTGGGTGATAATCATACTCGGGACGAAGAACTTAACTTTGCCATTCTCAAAGACGTTGGCGAGTTTGCTCTTTCCGCCGAAGGCGTCCCACGCAATTATCACGAAGCTATGGGCCGAAAAGACTCGGATGAATGGACAGCAGCTATTGTGGAAGAACATCAGAATCTTGTTCGGCGCGGAGTATTCGAGGAAGTGGACCTACCTCAAGATATGAGAGTTCACGATAGTCGTCTCGTTTTCGCGGAAAAGACGAACTCTGAGGGAGAAGTAGTGAAGAAGAAAGCGCGATTAGTTGCGAAAGGCTTTACTGAAGAGCTAGGTGTGGATTATTTCCAGACATACTCACCAACGCTAGGTCGCGACACCCTATTCTCCTCACTCGCACACGCCGCATCCCTCGACCTCGAAATCCATCAACTTGACGCCGTTGCCGCTTATCTTAACAGCAATCTCCGAGAGGAGATCTACATTAAACCACCCCCAGGAGTCCCCGTTACACCCGGTAAGATCTGGCTACTGAAGAAGGCCTTGTACGGTTTGAAACAGGCCGGACTCGAGTGGTACCGCACGCTTCGCGATTATCTAAAGTCGTTGGGATATAAACAATCAGGGTATGATCCTTGCCTATATCGCTCAAAGGACTCACACTTTGTCCTGGTCTATGTGGACGACCTACTCGTCATTGCCCCTAAGCGCGACATCTCGAAAGTCAAGTCGGAAATCACCGAGCGCTACGAGATGCGTGACCTCGGCGAAGTCCATTGGTTTCTCGCGATGGAAATCACACGTGATCGAACGGCGAGAACCGTGACCATTAGCCAACGCCAGTACGTGACTGAAATTCTCACGCGATTCAGACTAGAGACGGCTCGATCGATGAGCACTCCAATGTCTGCTAACTTGAAATTAAACAAAATAAATTCCCCTGAAGTCGACACTCACCTCTACCAATCTATGCTCGGCTCACTCATGTACGCCTCCGTCAGCACTCGTCCCGACATATCCTTCGCTGTGGGTCTACTCGCTCAGCACGCGATCGCTCCCGGAAAAGAACATCTCACGGCAATCAAACGAGTTTTTCGTTATCTCAACGGAACTCGCGACTATGCTCTGGTCTTTGATGGGAAGAAGGTAAAGGAAGGACTAACTGGCTTCTCTGACGCCGATTGGGCTGGCGACTCGAGCACCCGACGCTCCGTGTCCGGGTATTGTTTCATCTATGGTGGGGCCGCGGTTGCCTGGTCATCCAAGAAGCAACCCACGATTGCATTGTCGAGTACCGAGGCGGAGTATATGGCGACAACTCATGCCGGTAAGGAGGCAGTCTACTTGGATCATCTTTACGACTCCTCTGGAATTCCCGTTGACTCACCCATTACCATTTTTGTCGACAATCAATCCGCCATCGCCCTCGCCGAGAACCCCGTATTCCACGCCCGAACGAAGCACATCGACGTTCGCCACCACTGGATCCGAGAGAAGATCGAAAGCGGAACTTTGGAACTCCAATACGTCCCAACCGCCGATCAAGTGTCCGACCTTTTCATGAAAGCTCTCCCCATCGTCAAATTCGAGAAGTTCCGAGGAGAGCTGGGTTTGCGTCGAGTCACCCATCGCTGAGTGGGTGTGTTGTAAGACAGCAACGGTTGGTTCGACGTTTAGCGCAAGGATACCCGACCTACATTATCTCGGTGAGACGCCCGATGATTGATGTTAGGTTTATTTCTAGTCGGTCTCTACTGTCTGATCATTCCATGTTTATTTAGCATTTATCTTCCTTTTTCCGACCTGTTGGTCGCCTCACTTTCCTTTATTTGTAATAATCCTCACTCCTGTTACACTCGATTAATCGACGCTTAAAAGCTCGATGTTTTCTTCGCTGACGCCCTCAGTTCTCATTGCGTTCACAACCGCGAGACTGAGGTCGGTATATCTTTTATCATATTCACTCGTTTACTTGTTCTAAAACCTTCACCTAGTATTATTCTATTCTAGGTAGATATCCAATTATAGTTCTCATTGCGTTCACAACCGCGAGACTGAGTATTATTCTATTCTAGTCTGCGTTATCGTCTACGTTCAAGCCATTAGAAGATTGACCAGGCGATTCTCCATAGGCTGCTGCGACAACTCTAAGTCTCCTTCACACAATTCGGGTATCGGTGGACTGTTTGTTGTTCTCCAT